CCCAAGGGGCAGAGGATGGGTGCCTATCCCAGCTGCAGAGATGCCCCAGCCCTGCCTGGTGGTGGGTGTTTGCAGCAGGGGAGGGCAGCCAGGCACATGAAGGGTGCTGGGACCTGCTGACCCCCATTCTCCAGCAGCAACGACTCCCATGAAACCTTCGAAGCGTATTACAGCGGTGCCTCCTCGCCCTCCTTCCATCAGTCCCACCACAGCCTGGCCACTGCCTGCAGTGGCAGTGATCAGAGTGGCGCAGGGCTGGAGCAGCTGCAGGACTACATGGTGACGGTGCGGGCATGGGGATGGGCGACAGGCTCTGCTCGGTGCCGGTGGCTGGGGAGGGGGTGGCGGTGGGCTGGTCTGAGCCCCCCCACACCAGAGAGCAGGCAGCGGAGTGCTGCGGAGTGGGGGAGCTGGGGCCATGCACTGCCAGTGTCCCCAGCCTGGACCTGTCCCCATGTCCCCACAGCTGCGCAACAAGCTGTCGCCACAGGAGATCCAGCAGTTCGCCCTCCTGCTCCGCGAGTATCGGCTGGGGGCGCCGACGCGGGGAAGACTTAGCACGCCAGTGCAGGAATACTGCGGGGAGCTCCTGCGCCTCTACGGGGACCGCAGGAAATTCCTTCTCCTGGGTGAGTGTTTGGACTCCCACTGCAGCCGCCCTGTGTCACCCTAGTGATGTCCATGCATCCCCTGGGGATGGGGTGTGCTCCAGGGGGCATTGGGACCTCACTGCTGTGGGGTACGGATTGGGATGAGCCCCCCTGCAAGCAGCCAGTGGGGCCGGCTGGCATCGCGCCCCAGTGCTGCCCACTCAGGCAGGGTCACCCCAAGGCTCACGGTACCCATGGTAGGAATGAGGCCCTTCATCCCTGACCAAGACATCGGGTACTTTGAGACCTTCCTGGAGAGCATCGGCATCCGGGAGGGCGGGATCCTCACCGACAGCTTCGGCCGCATCAAGCGCAGCATGAGCAACACGTCGGCCTCGGCTGTGCGCAGCTACGACAGCTGTTCCCTGCGCTCTGAGTCCGAGTCCTTCAACCGCATGATCACGGACATCACCCATGACATCGAGGCACTGGCGCGGGACGAGGAAGAGGAGGAGGAGGAGGAAGAGGACAACTACCTGTGAGGGAGTGCTGAAACCCAGTGGGCCCTCCCCGCTCGCCGATGCGGTGCTGCACCTCCAAACCTAGACTTGCTGGGTGCCCAGCTCTGCCCCAGTGCCTGGAATGGGGCATGTGGTCCCCTCCTTTGTCATTGTGTGAGGGGACGGGGGCTCTGCACAGCCGTGGCAGCTCTCAGCAGGGCTGATGGCATCCCAAGGCAGCCATGGAGGCGGGGGAGCCCCTGGCCGGCAGCGCTGTGTGCTGTAATTTCTGCAGATTGCAATTAAATGCCAGGGCTGGGAGTGGAAC